ATCGCGAAAAACGGAACTTGTACGTGTTAATCTCACAACAAACTAAGCTGTACAAAAGTAAAAAAAGGCCAAACTATAAGATTTTGTAACAAAATTGGCAGTGCAATGGTCATAAAAGGTTTTCCAAAAAGGCTGTTCTGATTCGAACATCTTTAACAAATTCAGGTGTCATAATTGGATTGAACGAGCATGTGAAATTGACTTCATCATAACCAATATCTATATGAAATTTTGGCATAAGGACATCAAGGAAAGTATAATTATGAATCGGCATTTCTGATTGCACTGGCAAAATCAAAACACGGGACTTTATCCAAGAAGTTTAACTTTAGCTCCAGCTATACATATATTAATGATCTGATATCCTTCAATTATGGTCAAATAGCCAATTCCCTTCCACTGATTTACCCACCTGAAACAGAAATAGAAGAGAACATTGAAACCGCCTAATCTATTTCATGTTTAGATTCCATATTTAGCATTACGATTCAGAGGGACAACAGATATCCACAAGACTGTATGTTTGATAAAGGTTGCAACAGGTGAACAACTGACCTAGGCTTACATATGTGTTTGTCAAGGGTGCCACAGATGGGGCTGGATACACTCACCTTTTCGCGAACACCTTGTATCATCTCTATTTAATAGCGATTCGTAAATACATACTCATGATAAAGTCGGAATCGTTTAGTGGACTCTACTTTTAGCAGAGATTTCTTATGATTATGGAAATGGTTTTGTCACTTATATGCATATGTTACTTTTATACATAGTAAAATGACGCGCGGATAGAGATGTTGGAAAGGGATGACACATACACCATGCTAGGTGCATGCATATAACTGCTGAACAATCATCAGGCAATACAGCAGGTCAGAGTAATTAAAAACGTCCCGATAGCTGTTCAAACTGAACCTAACCAATCGTATTAAGTTGTAAAATGGTCCTACGATGGAACATATACAAGTTATGTACAGGTGACCTGTTATAGGTCTTAAGGGTTAGATTAATGAGATTAAAATACCATGAGATCCAGATACCGAATCGTTTTAAAAACGCAAAATACTTTATTTATACATATTTAATATTATTTGCGGTGTTCCTCGTGTATGTGTTCTCAACTGAAACTATTTCAGGACCAATATGAGCAATACTCGAAACACGGTTTAATAACGCATGCTTTGGTCGATGCAAGTCTAATCGCGAAATCTCAGGTCGGGTCAGTCTAATCACGCATGCGTAGGTCGAGGCACAGTCTAATCACGCATGCGTAGGTCGAGGCACAGTCTAATCACGCATGCGTAGGTCGAAGCACAGTCTAATCACGCATGCGTAGGTCGAGGCACAGTCTAATCACGCATGCGTAGGTCGAGGCACAGTCTAATCACGCATGCGTAGGTCGAAGCACAGTCTAATTACGCATGCGTAGGTCGAGGCACAGTCTAATCACTCAGTCTCACGTCGCGGCAAAGTAAAATTACTCCTTCACACGTCAAGGCACAGTCTAAACACGCATGCGCAGGTCGAGGCACAATCTTATTACGCCTGCGTAGGTCGAGGCACAGTCTAATCACTCATTCTCGCGTCAAGGCATAGTCTAATCACGCATGCGTAGGTCGAGGCACAATCTAATTACGCATGCGTACAGTGTAGGTCAAGGCACAGTCTAATCACTCAGTCTCAGGTCGAGGCACAGTCTAACCACTCCTTCACGCGTCAAGGCACAGTCTAATCGCTTAAAAGTAGAACTGTTAAAACATACCGGAATGCTGAACTGAACACCATATCCATGTTTTTCACAGTCTTGTTGTATCTAAAAATGTTCATTTCTTTTACTGTGATCGAACTGTTTAAGACCATGACAGTAATTGTTCCCTACCTTCTATGTTGAGTGGAAGTATGTATGACACGTTGATGTACCTCTTGCCCTGTACCTGCTGCCAATGAAATGAAATGAAATTGTCATAACAAAAAAAAGTGTTTGTTTTTTCTTAAAATTGTTTTATTACTGATGCAAATAATACACATCTCACAGACATAGGATAAAAAAACAGTGTGTAAGTCTTTATGGTGTGAGCTTGCCTTCCTTGGAGATAACATACAGTTGTATTTCATATGATATTTATAGGTTTAAGAACATAGTGATGTATCCAGGTGTTCGCGAAAAGGCTAAGCGTGTCTTGTCCTACCGGCACCATCACAGAATTCGGTGGAAACGAGAGAATCAGCGCTATTCAATCTCTGTCATTTTCTAACAGTAACAAACAGTATACGTTCTGTCACCCATGTAGCTGGTATTTAAATATATGTCAGGGGAAGAATATACAGTGTCCGGGCCCAGGTGGGCATGGCGATGAGAACATAGCAAGGGAGGTAACTGTACTCTGTAACTGTACTGTAAGTGTTGCCGTTGACGTTAGCGTAACATACTGCTGTCGCGCACTATGCATACATTATGTTTAACCCTGGAACTTCCAGGTATGAATATAGGCAATCGAGGAACCTAATCCTAATATGTGACCAACCATGAGATAAAGGACCTTATGGGTGAAAATTCCCATTTTGACTTCTCATTATATTTTAAAACTACAGTATCTTAGGAACACAAGCATACAATCCTCAAGCTTCAATATATATTTATTACAGATACATGACATCAAACATTTAGAACCATTTTCTACAAAGTCTCATTTTTAGAGACTTAAAACTGTTCATGTAATAATTAGATTTAATGTCTGAATAATTGAACGTAGACATGTATGCTGAAATGTTTTGAAATAATGTTTTTATAACATTACGAACTAAAGAGAAAAAAATAGGATATTTTATAACAGTCCTCACACATGTCGAATTTTACGGAAGTAAGTTGACGCCAAACGTCTTTCTTCATGAAGTCACAGCACAATTGCATCCAAGCACCCTTTTCTCCTGATTGGTCACCTGAGCTTATCGTAAGAGGCGACTAAATGGATATGGTGGTCAGGTTCAGTGACAAGGTTGACTGAATGTTATCACATCCTAATTGTTCATATCGATGCTCATGATAACAGTCACTGGATTCAGGATCGATTATCATCAGACCGTCGTCATATAGCTGGAATATTGTTGAGTGCGGTGTTAAACAACAATCAACAAACATGCATATATATATGTATATACATTCATAGGAACAGGAACAGTTCAAAACTTATTCTATATGTTTATATATGTTTGGGGAAGTGAAATAAGATTTAAATATGTTTTAAATATATCTAATTGATGCAGATCAGCATGTTAGCAAGCCTCTGTGGTACAAAGAAATACTTCTACCTCGAGCGTACCTCAATACGTACGTTCATGTGTTTGTTTGGGACACATATTGTAACAGGTTACTCCTCTACCGCTCAACACACAGAAAAGAATGAATATTTGTACGCGACATGTGACGTTTAAATGTGATAAGAGCATTTACACTTAATGGACTTTACAGCGGATGTATGCATGAGTGTGTGTGTGCGTGTGCGTGTGCGTGTGCGTGTGCGTGTTTGCGTGCGTGCGTGTTCTACGGGGCATTTTATCATACGTGATGATAGATTAATACATACTTATTTCCCAATGTTGCATGTCATTATCAATGATCTTCTCACTTCTAAACGGTGCTTCAGTATAACGCGTACACAACCAAAGTGATACTCATTAAAAGGTTATTCATACCATAAAGCATATGTACTTATATAGATCATAGCCCGATCAGCAAACTGTTCGTAGCCCTACAATTCCCGCATGTACACAGTTAACGTAGACTTGCGACTACGAATGCTACGAACGCTTTACTGATCGGCCCCTGGCCACAAGTTCACCAAGTTACCATCTTCGTCAGCATGCCGAAAAGTGAGCAAACATGGCGGAATAGGAAATGGAAATGGGTAAGGAAAGATAACTCTCCTGTTATAATCCGGACGATTGTGTAACTAGCTGCAAAAACGATCATTACCGGGCAAAACCAAAACTGTTTTACAAAAGATAAGCCGCACAAGCAGTGAAAACATATTTGAACTTTAAATGGCCTTATTATGAATATCTATCCGGCAGCATTACACTGTCTCATACAATGACTATGAAACAACAAAACAAACAATATAGACTCTGCTATACGTCATAAATACTACCTAGGAAACAACTTGTCAGGGATGAGCTGGAGACAGTTGACTTCTTTAGAGATGTCATGCCCGGATTTCAATAACGGATAACAAACATGCCATTTATGTATGGGAATGAAACTAATGTAGATAGACTAAGTTCGACCACAGGATTTAAATTATATATGCTGACACTCACAACACAAACACTTGACGGTTATTTGTTGTTAATGGTAGAGATTACAACAAGATATATGTGTACACGCCTCTTGGATATCAACAGATATTGCAAGATGACATATAACTGCTGAATGCCTACGTTACTGGTTATATACAATTGGTTCTGTATCATAGTTTGAGAAGCTGCTTTAATTCCGTATAAGAATTCTATATAGAGGAATAGTCCAACTTTTGAACACTTGGATAATTAGCAATGAGCATGGTTAATGAAACATGTATATACGTGTAATTTACGTGTGGCTCGTTTCTTTTGATCTTTTTCCAATTCTTTTCATATTTTATACAAAGTGTATTTAAAAAGGCATTGAATCCAGAAGAATTTCGCCTACAATTGTTGTAATCCCCCTTAGAGGGATTTATAGTTGAATATAGATAAAAAAATATTATTAAATCGACACATGCAATATTTCAACGAACACTGCTGACAGAACATATGATGAACATTAAAAAACAGTAATGTCCTCTGATAACACATCCATATTGTAGCCATCAGTAAAGTGGTTTCCCGATTATTTAAAAACTGAAAAAGATTAGTGTAATAGATCCTGTGTAATAGTCGTATTGAAAACGTTTAGCAAAGAGACACCAAAATGTTTCTTTTTTTCGAGCCAACAAAACATTCCCCCCCCCCCCCCCCCCCCCGAACAAACAGTAAAAATATTTCCACAATCCCGAAGACATTCGGCTGTTACTTCCTCACTTCCCAATAAAGATGCCAGGCACAGGCTGGAGGACTCTGAAGGCATCACTATTTGTGTTTGATGTTGCAATCTCACGGATGGCATTTCTCGAAAGCCAGGATATGTTTCTATATACACCATATCGACTGGACCATGGTGGGGATTGTCTCCCCTTTCTTTCCTGTTGGGTAATCTCCCTTTGTTTAGCCGTCCAGGAACTAGAACAGGAGACACAGAACGACTCACTCGCTCCAGGTCGACTGAGAGTGATAGTTGAAAATCCCGAATTAGTTGACCTTGGCGTGGACACCCTTATAACTTTACGTGATCGCCAGCGAGGGCTAAGTCTTCCGTTGTTGTTGCTGTATCTGGATATACCACCTCCACGGACAACTGGTATTGTAGATACTGGCGTGATACTTGCGGTATTTCTTCTGCTAGATTCAATATGGGGAACCGAACTCAATGTATTTTTTTCTTCATTGCTAGCGTTTCCCCTGGCTCTAGCACCAATGCTAAAAAATCGTGAAAACCCATCAATTATAGGTGCAGGATTGGAGGAACGGGAATTTCCACTGGTTGGGTTTAAAAGCGACGAAAAGAAACCACTACCAGGGCGGTTTAGGACGGATGTGATGTATCCTCCGTTATCACCTTGTCTGGGACTAACGGAGATAAATTTGCCTTTGGTTTTATGATCACCGCTTACATTTCTGTTGCCAAACATTCGAGTGAACCAGTTTCCACGTTTGGGAGTTGTGGTCGAGCTGGCACTGGTGTCTACTGTTGCCACGCCAACAGAAGAGTTTGTCTTTGTGTTGTGTGGGTAGGATCTATATGAGATGCTTCCTCTGCTGGGGCCACCAAACATATTTCGAAATCTTGAAAACATTCCATGTATCATTCCCAACAGCCCTGGACCAACACTACCAGGTCTTTCTTTGATAGGACTTGGGGTCATATCGGAGACTTGATCACTGTCCGTAGACACATCACTCGACAGACCATTATCACTAGACTCAGAATCTCCAGATAACACAGTGTCGGAAGAATCCTTGGTGTTGGTAGAAGATTCAGGACCAATAGTGTCGTGTCCAGAGTTTTCTGCCGCATCCTGACCGTCGCCAGAGGGCGGTGAAGACATGACCGCTGTGGTCGATATCGTGGTGGTCATTGGAGTCGTTGGTGTAGTGTTTGGCGGCATGGTGTGTAGGATTAGCTCAGGCTTGACTCCACAGGTGGCACAACAATAGCTGATCCTCCCCTTCTCTGTGAGAAATGGGCAGTCGGACAACTGACAGTCCTCGTCAGCATCGTCACCTTGGGGACAGTTTTCTGAAACAAGGAATAGATGTATGTTACTGCATTATCTTTTAAATACAAATTGAGGGAAATTTTGATGTTTGTTTGATGTGATTTTATTTTTTCCCTATAAAAACCTCAGTGGCCACAGTCGTAGTGAATGAGTGTAGGAGTTTATGTCGCTTTTAGCAGCCAAAATGTGGTTAGCAACGATTCAACGGTTAAGTAGTGTCTTAAACTAAAACAGTGAGCTACGCTGTTTGGATAATTTCTTTTGATAGTAAGTACTGCGATATTTCTGACAAATTAGCTACACACACACACACACACACACACACACACACACACACACACACACACACACACACACATATATATATATTCTTGTGACTGAATACAATGAAATATAAAATATTATGTATTACCAGGTGTTCTGGGTGCCTCCGGGTCGACGACACATCTTCCTTTAATGCACCACTGTGATGAAAACAAATGAAACAAAATGTCAAACTGTCACAACCTGCCTTGACTTACACATCTGACTGTGTTTGGTTCCAGTTCCTATTGGGGGCACGGGTGGCCCAGTCGTCTAAGGCGCGCCGCAATTCGCTGTGCAGAGTTGCGTCCCTTGGACAGGGCAGAAACCTATGATTGTGGATTCGAATCCCGGTTCGCCACGATTATGTTTCTAAGTTTGTCAGCACCATACCTGTGCTCGTGGGTTTCACCGAAGTGGTAAACGTCTGAGACCCGCATTACTTTGGGTTTTCCTCCCACATCAAGCTGACACGCCGTGATATAATTGAAATACTGTAAAAAGCGGCTTTAAACCCAACTCACTCACTCATTCCAGTTCCTATGTATTATTGATATTAAAGCACATGTTTTATGCGGACACGACTGCCCTAGTCGTCTGAGGCACTACAATTCCATGTACAGATATGCGCCCCTTGGCGATGATAAAACGAACCTTTCCATCTCCACATGTGGTCTTCTCCATGGGGAAGCTCTTCTGGAAGTAGCGTGGTCGCCCCGGGATAGCGCAGTACATTGCCCTGCACATCGAGTCAAATCCCCGATCATACTGGATCCCCTGCAATACAGACCACCCTGTCATACTGGATCCCCTGCAATACAGACCACCCTGTCAAACTGGATCCCCTGCCTTACAGACCACCCTGTCAAACTGGATCCCCTGCAATACAGACCACCCTGTCATACTGGTTCCCAGCAATACACACCACCCTGTCAAACTGGATCCCCTGCCTTACAGACCACCCTGTCAAACTGGATCCCCTGCAGTACAGACCACCCTGTCATACTGGTTCCGAGCAATACACACCACCCTGTCAAACTGGATCCCCTGCCTTACAGACCACCCTGTCAAACTGGATCCCCTGCAGTACAGACCACCCTGTCATACTGGTTCCGAGCAATACACACCACCCTGTCAAACTGGATCCCCTGCCTTACAGACCACCCTGTCAAACTGGATCCCCTGCAGTACAGACCACCCTGTCATACTGGTTCCGAGCAATACACACCACCCTGTCAAACTGGATCCCGTGCCTTACAGACCACCCTGTCAAACTGGATCCCCTGCAGTACAGACCACCCTGTCATACTGGTTCCCAGCAATACAGACCACCCTGTCATACTGAATCCCTGGTATACAGACCACCCTATCATACTGGACCCCCGCAATACATACAACCTTGTCTTTCTGGATCCCTGAAATACAGACCACCCAGTCATACTGGATCCCATGCAATACATACAAGCCTGTCATTCTGGATCCCTGAAATACAGACCACCCAGTCATACTTGACACCCTGAAATACAGACCACCCAGTGTTGTCACTGATTGATCATAATGTCTATAATGCGTGATACAGCGTTTGCCACTCGTGTTTTTTGGACAGCGAACAGCATATATGTATGCTCACTGGTTTCACGAAGGTGATAAAACGCCCGTCTTAACTTTGAGTTTACATCCCTCCTGACACACAATAATTTATCTGAAGTCCTGTCAACGGACTATTAACGATAAATTTAAGCAAAGAAATAACATTCTGTGCTTCAAAAAAAGAAGAAGAAATGAACGACCTGTCGTACACTCATTTGATATTTCTGCTATGTCAATGTCATTTTCTGTTCCGTCTGTTCGCATTAACGATTACAACCAACATATATGACAAGGTGTTTGAAGTTATGCGAGAGATTTAACATGATAAACAGTGTCAGTTGTGTTGAGAAGAACGCAGACAATTCGGTCTAGATATGTTAAATCTGCTTGTGACGTATTTCTGGCATTGTCAGTTATAGGGTTAATTCACACCTGGAGTCATAGAGTGTTCGTCGATATTCAGGTCACTGTAACAAGTTGATTAATCGATTGTTCGAGACAAGCATGTAATAGATCAAAGTAAAGACAAAGATACTGCTTGGGCCATGAAGTCCCAGCGTCTTCAAGGATATATTAATAGTGTTCGAGTTAACGATGTTTGACTATACGTATATCGATTCATCCATACTAACCGACTTCGTTACATACGGATTTGGTTGTAGGTTAAGATTGTGTGATGAATTTAATATTTGATTGTTTCAAACGTTTCCATGCCTACTATCACATTAATCAAAGTGAAAACACGTCGACAAATCTCAGAGGTAGAGGTAAACAACAATAGAGTGTATGTTTTAACGCCTTTGAGATTGTATGGGTCATCGTTTTGTGAAGTGTGCCTCGACGAAATTTCATACGCTGACACTAGATGATTAATATAAAAAATGAGACCGACACTTGCTGTTTACATCCTAGACACAAGAAATGCGTGATTGTGTTTGCAGACAGTTTTGAGGTTACTCACCCTGCCAAAATATGATTGATTCCCCAGTGCCAGTTTACACTGTATGTCGCTCGAGTACACCTGTCCGGGAACCAGTTTAGTGGTGACTGGGGACACCGTCTTGCCTGTTTCCCTGGCACAATATACCCTGAAATGATAAGTCTTTCCTAAGAGGGGTACATCTGTATAGTCACACTACGTTCACAAGAGCACGATGAGAGCAATGTGTGCCATCACTTGGCAATCACAAGATAATTCGGACACTGTTCATCCCCATTCGTACGTTGTTGGAGTTAGTGACATCGAAAACTTCGCCTTCAGGCTTTTAAACGAATATGAATTTGTATTTGTACATTTGATTATCAATAAGTAGACTGTATTGACTGCCAGTGGTTATTGTGCAAGGTCACAACTTTTATCGAGGATGTTTTTTTTTCGGAATGGAGCTGAGTTCTATTCTTGAAGACATCACCCACTGGTATGAAGCAGAATTTTGATTCACTCACCCCTCGAAATATCACCAATGCCACCTTAACTGTTCGAAAATAGGGTACGTCAGGATAAATAGAATATATCAATATTTCGTAAAATGTCCACATGCAATGAATAATGGCTAGTATTACTTATATGTACTTCCGGTATATGATGAACTGTAAAACGTACATACCTCAACTCTAGTACTATGGAAGGAATGATTGAAGATGTGGACAGGCTAAAGCTTTCAATGTGATACCTTTAGAGTGAGTGAGTGAAGCTCCCTGTGAAATGTCACCCTGGTCATACATTGTGACCACACCCACCTCACCGGGGGAAAGTTACCATGTCTCACCTTGCCAGGTAGTTTCTGAACGCTGCCACGGAGCAGGAGGAGAACTCCCAAGGTCGTGATGCCGTTGCATTGTTGGTGGGGTTGATGAGTTTACTTGACATGATGTAGTTGTCAGCGGCGGTACAACCCCTGGCCATCAAAGTCCCATCATGCACGGCGGACAGACTGATGAAAGAATATTAGTGCTGTAGTTCATTAATAGCCGTTGCACCACTCATGCCCAAGTTCATCAGTAGTAGTTCCCACATGTGCCCTAGTTCATCAATAGTAGTTCCCACATGTGACTTGGTTCATCAATAGTAGTTCCCACATGTGACTTGGTTCATCAGTAGTAGTTCCAACATGTGCCCCAGTTCATCAATAGTAGTACCCACATGTGCCCTAGTTCATCAATAGTAGTACCCACATCTGCCCTAGTTCATCAATAGTAGTTCCCACATGTGTCCTAGTTCATCAGTAGTAGTACTCACATGTGCCCTAGTCTATCAATAGTAGTTCCCACATGTGCCCCAGTTCATCAATAGTAGTACCCAAATTTGTCCTAGTCTATCAAAAGTAGTTCCCACATGTGCCCCAGTTCATCAATAGTAGTACCCACATGTGCCCCAGTTCATCAATAGTAGTTCCCACATGTGCCCTAGTTCATCAGTAGTAGTTCCCACATGTGTCCCATTTCATCAGTAGTAGTTCCCACATGTGTCCCAGTTCATCAGTAGTAGTGCCCACATGTGCCCCAGTTCATCAATAGTAGTTCCCACATGTGCCCCAGTTCATCAATAGTAGTTCCCACATGTGCCCTAGTTCATCAGTAGTAGTTCCCACATGTGTCCCAGTTCATCAGTAGTAGTTCCCACATGTGTCCCAGTTCATCAGTAGTAGTGCCCACATGTGCCCCAGTTCATCAATAGTAGTTCCCACATGTGTCCTAGTTCATCAGTAATAGTTCCCACATGTGCCCCAGTTCATCAATAGTCGTACCCACCTGTGCCCCAGTTCATGTGCCGCTGTGGCCCCGACACTAGCCGAGTAGTCCTGCTCTATGATGGAGACAGATGCCGAGGTGCACATCCCAGCCAAGGTGGCCAGACCTAACAGCAAAGAAAGCTTGATAAAATCATCCACGAAGGTATGTGTACATTTTACATATGTGTCCTACAGTGAAGTGAGTATGAAACGGAGTTAATGAATATGTCGAGAATACAGGACGTTATAGATCTATATTATCTTTTACATGCGTTTATTACATGTGTGTAATAGAATCGATCATTGTCGTGTTCTCGACACTGTTAGTAATTGACATGGTACCTGCTACAATCCTGGAACCGCTGCTGGTCAGATCATACCTGAAACAAAGGGTGACACTGTGTGACACTGTGTAGAGTGGGTACTGCTTTACCCCTCTTTTAGCAATATTACAGCAACATCACGGCGAGGGGCACTAGGGGGTGACACATTGTATCCATATGGGGAATCGATCCCGGGCTTTGGTGTGAGGTGCCAACTACAGTCGCCCCTCGTTAACTACCTCGAACCCCGTTATCCTGAAAGTACCATAACACGAAACTATTCTCCGGGCCCGAACGTGTTATGATATAATGTTCATGCCTCTTTATCTCGAAAGTCCGGATATATCGAAGTTACAACACTGTCCCGCTAGGTTCGAGGTAACGGGGTTCGACTGTAATTTGGTACTCCATCGGCCCCAATTTGATACCGTGCATGCTCGAAGCGCTGCATTAATACAACAAGGGTAATGGATAAGTATTCCCTCGAATTTCCGTCCATCACACCATGGGGAGTATACAACCCAAGCTAGAGGTCACATTACCATCTTACCCTACCGGATACCCATTCACTGCTGTATGAACAGAGGCTAATTTCGATCCGTGTGCGCTCGAATTTTCATTTATCAGCTCCTTAGGGAGTACACAACCCAAGACGCATGTAAGGCGTTGGAAGGTGAACAGTCCCATTACCATCTTACCCTATCGGGTACCCATTCACTGATGGATGGACGGAGGCATATTTCGAAAAAAAAAGGCATAGTTCGAAGGCAATTGCAAAAAGGAGACACCACATGACAGTGTTAAATGTGGCTTAATATGGAGCAGGATCGAAGCCTGAGGGTGAGGTGAGGTTATTGCACGTATATGGCGACGTGCATGTGTGTGTGCGTGCGTGCGTGTATGTGTGCGTGTGTGTGGCTGCTTGTACTAGTCCGGATTGATCCCGATTTATAGAGCTAGCCAACTGATCGAGATACCATGTCGCAGTTTAACATGAATACCCCACTCAGACACAGTATTCTGACTCCGAGCCGACCAGACCTTGTTGTAGCCCCTTAACGCCGAACACCAGGTAGGGTAACAACAAGTTCTATCTTTACGTCTTTTGGTATGTCCGGGCGGACGCTCTTCCACTAGACCACGGAGGCGGTCTTTGAAGCCCTAGGAACTCTCATAAGTCCTACCATCATGCATCAAACATCATACATGTTTCAATCCATATGTACTACTTATCCAGTTCCGATACCAGTATCTATATATAGCTGTCAATTGAAACGAAAGTACATTGTCAAAGTTAACAATTCTAGTCACTACAGCAAGCAAACGATCAGAGATCAAAGAAATAATCCCTATCCCAATCTTAGTCACATCAGCTTCATCGTGAGCAGTTGATTCAATAACGACAAACAATTAGAGCCGCACCGGTCATCTGAACTCTACTCGTCTCAAGGTATTGGCCTCGGGACAAGATCATTTCGGTATCACTGGTGATAGGGACACAGATACACAGAGAGCCGGTATGTGGATCAAGATAAAGGAAGAGCTTACCCAGAAAACAACATCCAATGGTCACTTGGTGGTAGATTGTCCTGATACTGAAGCCAGTCTTTAAATGACCTCAGGGCTGGCTTGACCTCCACAGTACCCGACTGACTAGCCTCATTTTCTGTCCAGTACGATTTCTCTGGTGTCTGAAGAAAAACAGTTAAATTTCTTTTCTTTGAAGTGAATACACGTTTAGGTCACATATGTGATAAATTTAACTGAGCTTAAGGGATTACCTATGCATAAAATGCGTGTTTTGCATGTAAAAGCGATTTACATGCACAGGTGTGTGTCTGTGTGAGGCTGCTTGTACTAGTCCGGACTAATGTCGATATTATAGTACTAGCCCACTCAGATACCATGCCGCAGTTTAACATGAATACCACACTCAGATACAGTTTACTGAGCCGACCAGTCCTTGTTTTAGCCCTTTATATTATAAATAATGCCGAGCGCCAGACAGGGTAACAACAAGTCATATTTTTAAACGTCTTTTGGTATGACGCTCACCGGGCGGGCGCTCTACCACAAGACCACAGAGGGGTCAATTGGCTGTACTATTTCACTGGGATGATTTCTTTTTAGGGGTGATAACTAATTGTTTCAAGGGGGTTTATTCAGCCATAAGAATTATTGACTATGCATATTAGGTTAATGAGAGGTGTTCGTTAGAAGTATGAGTTATTTGTTACATGATTTCAGAGAACGTGTGGTTTTACTAAATCTACTGTATGTTCATCGTCGGTAAAAAAAACGACACATAATATACATTAATATCATATCATATCATATCATATCATATCATATCATATCATATCATATCTTAATAATACACTAATGGCGAAGAGGCACTACTCTGATGATAAGGAGCAATGTTAGAAATATGGAACAAATTTCTTTTTTTTAGGATTTCGTGGTACTACGCCCTAGTTACACATGACCGATACCTATTAAAATAATTTATTCACATGTGAATGGCGCTCAGAGGAAGTGCTATGAAAGGGCGCCAGCAAGTCGGCATTGTTAACACATGTCACGAATAACATATATATTATGTGACATATATCAAACGTTTTTTACCTTACATGTAACGTTAGAATCGTCCTCATTTACCGCTTTGGGAAATCCGGCAACGACCATGTGTATAGTTCATTGACGGACCAGCAGCTAAAGGGACATAACTCCCTCTTATAATGCTGTTCAATATGAACATGACTACCTACATACGTTTATAGTGGCAGTTTCTCAGTTTTTATACCATGTGTATTCTGATCAGGTCTTTTTCCAGAAGGTTTTACATTCGGAGACATATACTGAGACACGTAAATTCAAAACATCAACGCCATGGGATAATGAGTTACGATTATCTGCTGAAAAATGTGAAATGGTTTAAAAGGTGAGGTGAGGTGAGGTGAGGTGAAATGAGGTTTAACATCGCGTCCAAGATCATTGCACTTATATAGCGACGTGCATGTACGTGTGTATGTGTTTGTGTGGCTGCTTGTACTAGTCCGGACTGATGCCGATTTATAGTGCTAGCTCACTGAGATACCATGCCGCAGTTTAACATGAATACCCCACTCAGACACAGTATACTGACTCCGAGCCGACCAGTCCTTGTTTTAGCCCCTTAATGCCGAGCGCCAGACAGGGTAACAACAAGTACCATCTTTTTACGTCTTTTGGTATGACGCGGTCGGGGATCGAACCCCGGACCTTCCGGTCTCCGGGCGGACGCTCTACCACTAGACCACGGAGGCGGTTCGGTTTAAAAGGTAAAAGTGATGGAAAGTACATAAACAGAGATAAAAGGGATGGCTGAAAAGTTCTGAGCCTAACTATGATGAACTGTACATGTCCACACACTGTTTTATGTATACACACTTTTGGCAACGATGCTGGAGTGCTTAGATCCTATTGGTGGTGTAAAATATCTTCCGCAGCAAAAATGACGGCATCGTCTTTTGCACAATGCTTGCTTATACAGTAAACTTCGTTTATAACAAACACGCTTATAGCGATCTGACGGATATATAGGCTGTATACATGCTTATAACGAACTACGGTTGTGACGAACTAAAATTATTGGTCCCTTTGAGTTCGTCATAACCGAAGTTTATTGTAGTTCTTTCTTGGGAAGAGGTGGTAAATTGGCGCTAATCTGGTGAATACGTTGGTGCTAATCTAATTAATACGGAGGATGTTCAATGAGTTCAAAGTTGTTCACAGGTGCATTACGCTGGTGGAACAATACACAGTGATATTTCTATGACGTTTAGGGCGGTCGGGTAGCCTAGTGGTTAAAGCGTTCGCTCGTCACGCCGAAGACCCGGGTTCGAATCCCGACAAGGGTACAATGTGTGAAGCCCATTTCTGGTGTCCCCCGCCGTGATATTGCTGGAATATTGCTAAAAGCGGCGTAAAACCAAACTCACTCACTCACTCACTATGACGTTTAGCCTTGCTTTTCTCACGCAGTTGCCCTAGCAGATTTGCATAATGTTGGTCATTGATCGTTTTTTCACCTTTTGAACGGTAAGGGAAGGGAAGGAATCCCAGAAAATCGAAGCCATCGCCTTTCCAGCTGAGGGAACAGATTTTGCCTTCTTCTTCGGAGGAGACGTTTGATATTTCGACTGTTTTGATTGTTGTTTAGTCTTTTTCGATAGTGATCAACCCAAGACTCATCCAAGGTTACAAATTGATCAACAAAATCAGCAGGGTCTGTTTTAAAACCACGTAAATCCCACTGAACTTTTATAGTCAGTTAACGCCTTTGCATCAGGAAGATGCGAGATATGATGAACCAGGAGCATTTCTGATCAGAAGTCCGAATCCTTGGAACCGAGTACGCTGAAACCTTCATCATGCCCAGGTCATGTGCCTTGGAATGTTGTCAACTCTGTCATGAGATATGCCTACTGTATTGGCTATGTGACGTGTACCTCCACAACAGTTTCTTTCGTGGTCTCAGTAGAAGGTCTTCCCGATCTTGGATCATCTTAAAGGCTCTCTCTTCCCCTCCGCTGCCCAACTCTTCACAATGGCAAAGGATGGAACATCGTCCCCTAAAGTTGACACCATGTCCGCATAGATGGCTGTTTGAGTTAGCCTTTTTTAGTTATATGTACTTGGTGACAGCGCGGTATCCAATGTTGTCCATTTTTATCAACAGATAATACCTAGGAAATTTGATGCCTGCAGAAATACAATGTCTTGTTGTGTATTTGGTTCAAATGCAGCCTGTGAGGTGAGGTGAAATGGGGTTTAACGTCGCGTTCAAGATTATTACACTTTTACGGCGACTTGTATGCACTTATGTGTGTGGCTACTTGTACTTGTCCGGACTGATGCCGAATTTATAGTGATTGCCCACTGAGATAATATGCCGTTCCATGAATACCCCACTCATACACAGTACACTGATTCCGAGCCTACCAGTCCTTGTTTTAACCCTTTAATGACGAGCGCCAGGGAGGATAGCAACTTGTACCATCTTTAACGTCTTTTTGGTATGAGTGAGTTAATATGATTTTACGCCGCTTTGAGCAAAATTCTGGGGGACACCAGAAATGGGCTTCACACATTGTACCCATGTCGGGAATCGAACCCGGGTCTTCGGCGTGACGAGCGAACGCTTTAAACACTAGGCTACCCGACCGCCCCCTTTCTGGTATGACGCGACCGGAGATCGAACCCACGATCTTTCGCTCTCCGGGCGGACGCTCTATCCACTAGACCATGGATGCGGTAAAATGCTGCATGTAAGCATGGAATGCATTGTTCTTTAACTGTTACGGATGCACTACACATCCTTCGTAGGAAGGTCCAGAATGTTTCAACCACCCCTCGTAAGTGAGAACTTACATAACATAAACAGAACATTTGTTTTTTCCCTGTCGAATAACATGTCCATCTTATCGCATTCTCTTACTAATTATATTGTAATTAGAGGCGCATCCACGAGTGAAAATGGCAACGAGATTAGATGAACATCAAGGCAAAACCCCTCTATGTATGGACCAGAGTAAGGAAGAAAGTCAATCGTTACGTTACAATCCTATATCTGTTTGTTCCTGCTAAATGCATTAAACACAATTGAACTACTTTAATTGGTCAGACCCGCATTGCCAAATAAAATATTATAAACATATTACTATATTATTAGTTGATGCGTTACTCGAGTACAGGAAAGAGTGAGTGAGTATGGTTATATGTCACTTTGCAATATTCCAGCAATATCTCGTCGGGGGCCACCACAAATTGGCTTCACGCGTTGTACCCATGTGGGGAATTGAACCCGGGTCTTTGGTCTGACGAACGAGCGCTTTAACAACCAAGCTACCCTACCGCCAAGTACAGGAAAGAAGCTTCATGAACCTACAGACATTTGTTTTCGGTCGGATGTATTAGCGGTTCGTGCTCTGTAACCACAATACCCGGGACAAACACTTTTCTATTCACATCAGCCTCCAACCATCGTGTAAGACGAGGGGCGGTCGGGTAGCCTAGTGGTTAAAGCGTTCGCTCGTCACGCCGAAGACCCGGGTTCGATTCCCGACATGGGTACAATGTGTGAAGCCCATTTCTGGTGTCCCCCGCCGTGATATTGCTGGAATATTGCTAAAAGCGGCGTAAAACCATACTCACTCACTCACTCACTCGTGTAAGACGTACTCCCAGAATCGACATCAGGACAAACGACGCCTGCTAAATTGTATACATGTGTCATGACGAAGCTACTAATATATAAGGTCATATCAAATGCATTATTCAGGAAATACGAGATGTTTCAACATTAACGTCAAATTCAGTCAATTAAACTTCAAGTAAACTTGAAATGTTTATGTGTCTAAAATCATATCTTAGCTTTATATTTATGATTCAACATGTTCAAATCTGTAATAAGGACATCGTAAAATATAAACATTCAAAATAAAAACTTTCAAAGTAAATACATGATCTTTCAGGTCACTTATTTTAAGTGAATCTCATAATACACAATCAGGTATATGTGGTTACTCCTGATGTGAAATTGTGTCATCCTTCTGTGTGATAATGTATATGTCTATGTTTAAATGTACGTTTATGTAAATTGTTCTACATGATTACCAGGTTCGGGCACAGGGAAATATTTACATGCAACTTGTAAGGCAGGGCAATAGTGTATGACCCTCATACCTTTACAGTTTATGACAGATATATGTCATATAATATAAATGAATATAACAGATCTAAGGCATGGCCTGCCTCTGGCTAATACATCCCAACGATTTCTTTTCACATGTTTATTCAAGGTCATTTTCTATAAATAAAGGGCAATGTTTTTATTAATATCTGCTACTTATCTCATTGCAAAAAAGGTGTCTCGGGTGTTCACTGATTAAGGGGAACGTTGTTAAACAATAATGATCAGATTGTTCTAAGTGTTCAAATGTAACTGTATTTGTTATAAACATCTTGTTATCATTGACTATTTTCAGACCAAATCAATCAGAATTTGGTAGTTATAATAGTTAAGCACAGATGGCCGGCTACAGCAACTCATGTTTGGTAAATGTCTGATTATGAAGATGTGAATGATTTCGGGGAAGAGATATCACAATAGATTACTCCTCAAACCACTTCATAATTACGTCATTCAAACAATGATATAGTTTGACATTCACATCAAAATACAGAAGAATATGTCGACATATGCATATCAAATTAGTTAATATTTTTTTTATTCTTAACGATGCCAATAATTACCAGGTCTAGCATTTTTTACCATTGTAATTTAAGTATCATATATGGTAGCGGCCCTGTTGTAACACAATGACAAAAATTCCAAAGCTGAATGTTTTAAACAAGCGATGTTTTGAACGTCAATATTAAATCTAACTGTGGGCAAGGCCGCCCCTTACCTATGAACATTAGCTGTTGTTATAAGTCCAAAGTATTCACGCTTTGAAAGAACAACTACTTCTTCTCATTCCTGTGGTTCCTCCGATTTCTGAAGATTTTTCTCATTTCTTAATGGATGCAGATCAAGTGGAACAAAGGAATCATTTTTCAACCTTCCAATAGTCAACTTTCCCTTTATGTCGAGCAATAATTCCAATAGCTCCAGACTTTGTTGCTCAAAATTTGTTATGATTATCTTAACACGATGTATGATTGTATGAACACGAAATATGATTATCCTAACATGATCTGTTAGTGTATTAAAACAATTGATGATAACTGTAACACGAAATATGATTGAATACTAATATTTCACACTATAACACAATATATGATTGTCGTAACACGACATATGATTATCGTAATACGAGATATTACTGTAACACGATATATGATTATCTTAACACGATAGACGATTATCTTAACATGAACGATGATTTTATTTTCACGAAATCGGATTGTATTACCTTATGTGGATTATCTTAACACGATATATGGTTATCGTAACGCGATATATGATTATCGTAACGCGATATGATTATCTTAACACAATATAAGATTATCTTAACACGATAGGTGATTATCTTGACACGATCGATGATTATCTGAACTTGATAGATGATTGTATTAACACGCAATGGGACTTTATTAACATAAATTTTATATTGATTATCTTTATACGATATATGGATTATCTTAACACGATATATTACTGTATAACATGATGATAGGAACTCGAAATATGATTATATGTTAATATTTTGTATACTATGTATGAATATCGTCACAGGATATATTGTAATAGAAACTCGATATGTGGATTATCGGAACTAGATATCGGATACTTTTAACTGTATCTTTCCGCCCTATAATGAATACACATTACTTACGTCCAGAATGAGCAGGCCCGTGACAAGTATGTTAATCTTTATACGTGGATCCACATCAGTCACGCTGGCATATCTCACAGACATCTTGAAAAGAAATCAAAGACACAAATTATGAGCAATCAAAGCCACACGAACAGATCGTGTCTGACAAGATAGATTACCGAGCAAAGCGTTGAACCTTGTGCCATATGATCACCGAGAGAATATCACATAATGCGATTTTTACGTCTATCAAAGATAGATCTGTTTTTGTAAGTCGAGTCGATGTACTAGATATGATTGATAGCAACGGGTGTAATGAATTGACGGATTGCAAAAATGATATAATGTCATATATGCAGGTGTTCCTAAGATAAGAGATTGCGTTTTATATCAACATGTGTTTATGAACAGACCTGATTTATGACCGTGATTTCTCTTATGATTATAATATGCAAATAAAAGCGACAAAACCCTAAAAGCAGAGTACAATAATGTTTTGGTAGACTAGAATATCTGGAGTCGCAAATACTTATGCTGTACCCGTCCTTTCGTATTCTTTCGGTGTTGTAGAATGGACGAAACAAGAAATCCACTGTATTGACCTGAAGAATCATGTCAGACAATAGATCCCGACACCCTCGCTATTCCCTCAATCGCTTATATGCAGCAGTTATAATGGGATGACGTGGTTTGATTAACGTGGAAGCACTTCATGAGAGAATTGTATTGGGCGCTTTTGCACACGTTAATTTGTCTGATGTGTATGTGTTTCTTGTGAAGAATGTCAAGACTCGTGAAAATAAGGTATTCCACAGTTTCCATAAACGAGGATCATTGTTGATTTTGAGGATGTCCTGTACTGCTGGACGGTACAGAAATGAGTGTCAACCCAGCGAAGTGACACATCAAATCGGCCAAGACTCAAGGAGAGGCTATCTGAACGACCACTGAATCGAGTTTATGTGCAGTGTGTTGAGATGGTCAGCAACCCTGAAGAGTCCTTCGCTTGGATGAAGTCGGCTGGCCTGGAAAGTGTAACAGAAGGCTTTCTGTTTGCTGATCAGGACCAGTCACTTCCCACTCGAAACCGTCAATGTGTGATTTTGCATCAAAATGTAAATATGAAATGTGGATTATGCAATGAATCTAACGAGACTGTCGAACACATTGTCAGTGGATGCCCAGCTTTGGCACAAACACAGTATCTTAAGCGACATGATGGCATGGCTCGGTCCTTTTAATACTGTCTTCGCTATGCTTGTGTTTTTCACACAGAGGTCCATCCATGGTACGACCCATAATATGCAGTGAGCGTCATGGAAAATGATAAATATAAAATTCTTTGGAATAGGCCCGTATACAGCCTCAGACATATTGAGGACAACAAACCTGATCTTTTCCTTTTTGATAAATCCAATAAAATTATTTATATCATCCAATTTTGGTGGTGGTGGTGATGATGATGATTTGACAATTTCAAGTCTGGTTGCCACTCACCGACTGTGCAATAAATGCATAATACAATCTCATCTCACTGTGGGCAAGTGTACGGTTGTGGAAATGATTCTCCCAACTGCAATGTATAAAAGATGGTAAGAAGGTGATTCGAACTGGGCCAGACGCTGCAAGACAGGTGGACAAGACTCCCTCAAATTATCATTGGCCGATTATTTCGGACCATACCACACCGTATGAACGAATGTTTAACCAATCGTGAGGACATGACCCATTATTGATCAAGCCATCTCAAATGTTCCCTTTTCCCCAACGAACCCCTGTCGTTTTTCTTGGTTGTTGCTCCATTACAATACACCCGAAACTGCTTTATTGATTGCCATGTTACACCTTGTCCTTCTTTCTCCTGGTCAATTACCATCCCTACTTTGTATTCATGTAAACTTCTGTTATTTTCGACTATCCCCTTCTTTTTTTAGAGAAATATCAGTGTCCCAATTGTTTGCAAACAGAAACAGTTTCAATGAAAACTAAATGACAAATGATATCAGTGTTATTTACACGTTGAGGATGAACACAAAAAAGAATAATGACGTTAACGTGCCTTGAGTAATCTTTATAGTCAGCACAGAAGAGGATCTCGATAGTATATTCGTCTACGCTTCTGCGCTTCATCCGTGCTGATGTCGTGTGTGAGGATCTCACGTTGGATTCTAGAACACAGAGATATATCATATATCACATGCACATACCATATATGTACTGACGTATAATTTGGCCTTTGAAGAACAGCCAGACTCACATTTATGTGTCAGCATTCTACATACAATAGAACATCTTTATCACGAGCACGGACATAACGTACTATCTCTTTTAACAAACTATTTAAAACAACCCGACTACTTTACCGCATATAATCATAAAAACTATGCGACAATAACGAATTCTGTAATTAACGTCGATATACCTTAACTGATTTTTCAAAAACCTAAAAAGCTAAAAATCTACATTTGGGGGAGTAAAATAATTTATAGTTCAAACCCAATCAATGTCTGTATGTTGAATATATTCAGGAAGCGACTTTCAGAAGAGGTTTCTTGCAATGGATATTTAAAGTAAACATTGCGAGGCAAGCACATATCGGATATATTGTTCAGTGGACTTTCGTCAAAAATCAAAATCAATATATCGTTTTTATATAAGTTTCAACAAAATCACCAAATGGGCTGTCGTGTGACTGGAATTCTGTTCCTTCACTTGTTGTTTTACTTGCCGCCATCGCTTGGCTTGTGGGTTCGAATCCCGGTTCGTCCGATTATGTTTCTAGGTTTGTCAGCACCACACCCATGCTCGTGGGTTTCACCGAAGTGGTAAACGTCTGAGACCTGCATCACTTCGGGCTTTCCTCCCACATTAAGCTGACACGCCTTGATATGACTGGGATACTGTTAAAAGCGGCGTTAAACCCAACTCACTCACTCACTCATAAAATGTCCACCGCTATTTTACCTTTGACGACCAATGTATTTCGTCGGATACTCAAGACTGATGAATTTTTTTGCGTTGATGTATTTACATGTATACACCATATTCGACTGTATAGCTATCATATCCGGTGTTGACGTATATGTTGATTTTGTTTTGAAAAGTAAAACATACCTGCGTTGATGACAAAGTCGTTCCCATAATTAATATGGGCAATTTGATGTACGGCATATTTGGGGCCATTGATATGGCTGATGTACACTTGTCCCGAGGTATCGTAGTAGGTTCCTTCCTGCAGTACAAGTGGAACACGTTTCCTCTTTGTTAAATCAGTGACACACTTGCATATACCACTGGACGAAATACTATCTTTCTAATTAATGAAATGACATGGAAGGGTTTCCCTGCAGTGTTTGTTTGCACGATAAACAACTCCCACAAGTCGTTTATTTCTTAAACATACCATTGAAAATAATGCAATTGGAATTTGTTAAACACAAGCACATGTTTAAGTAAATTATGTCATTGTCCTATCGACCGAATTGCTCTCGACAGTCAGGTTGTCGAACTTACCAATGTGAAGTTTCCATCGCGGTGTTTCCTCACCATGATGGAGGCTCCCAATACCTTGTCCAGGTAGGATGCAGCACTCTGGGGGTAAACATTGAGAGGGTTAATACAGGACAGGTATGTAGGAGTTAAGATAATAACTGATTGAGTCATTGAGTGACTGAGGAAAAACTTGTCTTTTGTTTAACGCCGCTCTCGGCAATATTCCAGCTGTATGACGGACGAGTCTGGACAAGGCAATCTAGTGATATATATCATGAGCATCGTTACATGCAATTGGGAAACGATGACCTGCATCCACCAAATCACCGTGCCTGACCACCCGATCCATATGGGCATCCCTTACGACAATCATAGGTTGTTTGGGACATGTATGCTTACTGTTTCTTATTGTGTTGCAGGGTATGGTGGCAAGAAAAGAACCGCATGAGGGAAAATGAGACACCTCTTCACGTATTCACTACCCCTTTGTACTCAGTGTCTGTGTGTATTCACTACCTCTATGTATTCACTACCTCTATGTATTCACTACCTCTATGTATTCACTACCTCTATGTATTCACTACCTCTATGGGTGGCAGGTCCTCCTTCACAACACTGTTCTCCCTGATGACGTACACTTGAATATCTGACGCCTGGTTGGTAAGAGACCGTCGCAGTCTGAGGTTGACGTCATTTCCTCTAGATGAAACTCGAAAATGCAAATTGATTGGAAGGTCACTGTCAGCTGACCTCCTGAATCGATGCCCATCATCAGCTGATATCAACTGCACATTCGCTACATCTGAAGCAAATAATGAAACAGATGACGTTCATATCACAAGACATGCACCGTGGGGTTCTACATGATTTGGTGCCGTAGAATTATTTGGATAATTGTGGACACATGTATTTGCAATTTTGACACATTGATATCTACATCTCATTGATATGCAAATTTAATACTAGCTCTGTAATAAATATGTAGCGTCATATAGATATATGCAACAACAATATCAAATAAACTTAAAGAAAGTATACACTTGAAAAATGGATTGGACAAAAAAAATGCAAACTGTATCCAAATGTTAGGGTGAAAACAGTCGAAGAAAATCACTGCAAACATAAGATCAAAAACAAAACTGACATAACCATTTCTTGTTTGTTTCACATATAGCCACGGTCAAACATGTTATACCTTCTTGTACCCGGCAGGGGGCACCGGTGGCCCAGTCGTCTAAGGCGCCGCGATTCGCTGTGCAGAGTTGCGTCCCTTGGGTACGCCAGAAACCTATGATTGTGGGTTCGAATCCCGGTTCGCCCCAATTATGTTTCTAGGTTTGTCAGCACCATACCCGTGCTCGTGGGTTTCACCGAAGTGGTAAACGTCAGAGACCTGCATCACTTCGGGCTTTCCTCCCACAATACGCTGACACGCCGTGATATAACTGGAATACTGTTAAAAGCGGCTTTAAACCCAACTCACTCACTCACTCTTGTGCCCGGCGGTTTATGTCTCCAATGTGCAGTTTGGGGATGTGATGGATGTACACAATCTACACGTTCAGCACTCTAATCAAAGTGAGTGAGTTTGGTTTAACACTACATTTCACAGAAGTACCGTTATATCACGGTGTGTCCGCTCTAATGAACGAGGAAAACCTGAAGTAGACATGTCCCAGTCATGTTCCCTGTTGGTGAAGCTCAGGAGTATGCTGCTGAAAACCTGGAACCAGACTCACGACGAACCCCATGATCATAGGTGTATTGCACACTGAACATTTACTTGTTATTTGAGGCGATCATTTCTATTTGACATATCTTCATCTATGCATAGACCGCCTCCGTGGTCTAGTGGTAGAGCGTCCGCCCGGAGAGCGGAAGGTCCGGGGTTCGATCCCGGGCCGCGTCATAGAAAAAGACGTTAAAAGATTGTACTTGTTGTTACCCTGTCTGGCGCTCGGCATTAAGGGGCTAAAACAAGGACTGGTCGGCTCGGAGTCAGTATACTGTGTCTGAGTGGGGTATTCATGTTAAAACTGCGGCATGGTATCTCAGTGAGCTAGCACTATAAATCGGCATCAGTCCGGACTAGTACAAGCAGCCACACACACACATACACGTGCATGCACGTCGCTATATAAGTGCAATAATTTTGGACGCGACGTTAAACCCAATTTCACCTCACCTCATCTATGCATAACATGTGAAAGTGTGATATTAGTTTTGTCATTTATACAGTTTGGGAATATATAGAGGTGTGTTTCAATATATTGCATGAGGAATACACATATTTAGCTAGACTTCCAGAGCTTAATAAACTGGCGGGCAATGGAAAGTAAACACCAATGTTTGTGTTGCTAAAAATGAAACAAACAAGAAATGGTTATTCGATGGTGATGCATTTGATACGGGTTTACCATGGCTGTGTTGCAGTCTCGAATCGACACCTTCATGCATGTGCCAGACACTCCTACTCCAGTATCGCAACTGAGCACATCCGCTCTTCATAGCTACATGTCTATATTCATTCAGCTACACGGTTTCATGACATGGACACTGAACAACAAACCATATTCATTCAGAATGTTGGTTACTGTGATACTAGAAATCGTCAAGTTACTGCAACAAAACTAACACGTACCTTATCCGCTAACCCATACCACCCACACCATGAATGTAATTAGACAATGTCGCGCATTCATGGGATTGAGGTTCTGATTACTAGTGAATATTGTTTAAATTACCACATATAATGGTGGAGCATGTCACAGGACATTGAGAGTGGACTTTAATGGACAAAATGTAAATATGCCTTTGCAGTGAATACTGTTTACCATTTTGGGGAACAGTTTTCATTGCAAGGGAATATTTACATTCTGTTACCCCGTGATTGGTAGGACAAAACTGTATTTGAAAGAGGTTGCGCTCGTTTTTGTTGTATCAGCACTAATGCGGCTACACCATGGGTTATAAGAATATGCTGAAGTTAAGTATAATATTTAAAAACAATTACAAAATGAAAGGATATTATAAAAGAAAAATATAACACTATTCTATTTCTTGATTACATTTCTACTTTATAGTCATAGATTGCAAAATCAAAATCATCTTCACATTCAAAATAATAAATAATTCATATTTTTGGCTTTATTTGACACAAAAATTGATGGGTGACCTCAGCTAAAGCTGCATTGTGACAGTTTTATATTCCTTATATAGCGCCAGTCGGCTACTCACGTGGAAGTAATCAGTTGTTCCACGGCGTTACATGATGACACTGTCACACAAGGTGACGTACTACAAGCGTCGCTTTTACCCTAGGCAAACCGGACTCCCTTACTAGAACAAGAGACGCCCGGGACTTAAATAAGCAGCTCATATACGATTCAGAAAAACAAATATTTCTTTTATATCTGTTAGGGAGTAATGACTTAATATTCTATTTTCTACATCGGCTTTCTTTCTTATATTTCTAGCAATAAACAGTGGTAAGTATCAAATGCTTGAGTTGAAGTGTTTCTCTCGCTTCTAGTGTGGAGTTTGGAAGACACCACGTGTTTTTCGGGATACTAACCCTTAAATGATGAAACTGTGTGATTGTCCAGAATGGAAGAGCTGCCAAACGTGAACATATTGTTACTTATAATGTGAACTAAATTGTCTAATTTCAAACGTCATTGCAAGGTACAAATTGAATCTCTGGCACTTCAAAAATTGAGAAAAGAGCCAACAAAATATAATTGAGAAATAAAATCAAACAACCATATATACAAATGATTGCGACGGCAATGATGACACCGGGTGTTCACGAAAGGAGATTTCGAGTTGGAAGTACATAAAGAGGTGGATTTTTCCCTTCTATATTTATAGAAGGGGATGGAATGCTGAGATGTACAATATTCGAATTTTGACTTCATATTCGCTGTTGTTAACAATCCAGAAATTGTATTTGATAGTACAAGCGATTATATCATGACTCGCATTCGTGATGCTAATAATCTATCAACACTGGCAACGTGTACGATAAACTCCTTCAAAACATGGGCATTACAGAAAATGTAGACTTGTAATATGTCACATGTAGGATATTGCTATGTATTAAATCATAACATTACTGATGAAATCTATGGGCAATTTCACCACTCTCTTCAATAATAAGCAATAATATGGTTCAAAATAATCGAGCTTATCCAAATCCATACGAAATACGCGTGTAATAATGACGAATTTGTTGATTTAATGCACACCCGTTTTGACGTAATACAGACATAACATTCGGTGACGTGAGGTGAAATGGGGTTTAACTTCACGTCCAAGATTATTGCACGTGCATGCACGTGTGTTGTGTGCCGACCAGTTCTTGTTTTAGCCCCTTATTGCCGGGCGCCAGGCAGGGTAACAACAAGTACCATATTTTAACGTCTTTTGGTATGACGCGACCGGGGATCGAACCCCGGACCTTCCGTTCTCCGGGGGGACGCTCTACCACTAGACCAAGGAGGCGGTGCCATCATTGTCGACGTCATGTGGAAATTGCCTTCTACATCATACTGAATTTAACTGAACGCATATCAGAATCTAAGAGGACGCAAATGCAAATCGTCTGATTCTCGCTTTGTGAATGTCATCTCCATTTGTGATAGTGTTCCTTTGAAGATGACAATGTATTCATTGTCACTTGCAGTGATTGGTACATTTATCACTTTCGTACTGCTTGTTTTAATCCCTTGGTGTTACTTTTACGCGTTCCATATATCAATGTCAGGCCATGCAGTGGCCCTCTGCCACCGTGACTATGTAGCGGAAAGGTTGGCCCACATAGGCTCCCCACTTTTCATAGTGTGCATGATACTCGCGACTGTGACATGAATAGGTAATTAAGACAGCTTCTCTGGGGCATAGAAGGAAAGCTGTTAAAATATCTCTTTTTTTTAAAAACAAAAGCATTCAGAAATACATTTTTCTTGAAATCACGTGGTGATTACATTACATGTGACATAGAATTTTCCGAATAAACATTACATGTATATGTTAATGACAGGTTAATGTATGGAAATCTACAATATGTATTAATGAAATGGTAACTTACTTGTCCACAATACTAGGAAATGGTTTTTTTTAAATAAAAAGTTTTCAAAGTATAACGTAGTTCGTTTATTACAAACAAAGGAGTTTATTACCAACACATCATAAAGTAAAAATAGATTAGCAAAAAACATAAAGTTACACACTGTATCAATTAATGCGATAAAATACAAATAACACTGCAGAGGTGTATATTGTGTGATCATAATACTTTTCTATTGTATTCAAGTTTTCCCTAAAATTAATCATGCTAACCCTCCCCCGTATAATTCTTGTTTTGTCACCTGGCCGTGTCTAAAAGAACATTTAAATCATCCCGTATCCTTAATAAAAGTCATAGTATACCCATCACTTCGACGTCTTCACTTTAAAATTGCATACTGAAACCCAATTACCTTCAATTCAGAGGTCTAGTTCCCAAACAGTGTAATTGTTACTCAGCCGTTGTGTAGATCGTTGTGTTGAAAGGCCACAATATATGCAAATGCACTTTATTACGACTGACTGAAAACTATAACTCATGAGAAAAATGGGGCATGATGATAAAACATATTTTGTAGCGTTATTTAGTAGTGAAATCTCGCCTGCTCATAGATTCGTCGTTCAATCACAACAAAGTGCTTTAAAGAAGATGCATTGGCGACATTAAACAATCAACATGACTGGCATGTGACACACTGCACAATCAAGAATACTTATGGGTTAATTCGTACCATTAACTTATACGCAGAATCTTAATAGTATTATTCCTTGCAATGTCACAGTTTCGAAACTGAACACTAAATATTCAGAATCGATATACGGACTTCAACAAACTTGGCATAGTTATTGTTCAAACTTCAAACATTTGTTTTTCAAAATTGTCTTCTCCTTACATATATATAACGTGTGAAATATAAGGAGCTATCAAAATGCTTGATCCCACCACCTGAACAGACTTACCTGTTAAGCTGGCCCTGGGTTTGAGTGTCATAGCCTTCACAGAAGTAATAAACGCAACCCAAAGAAAGCTTAAGACGAAAGAGTACCACATCCTGCACACAGCAAGGAAGCGTGCGTAAGGACACCGGCATCTACTCCGCAGGCACGCCCACCTGTGGTAAGAATCAACAACAGAACATATCATCCACCACGTGACTTGTGTGATGTCATTTGTCCATTGCAGGGTAATGTCTGCAAATCTCAGACTCTTTGACCAATGAGCAAGCTTGATTGATGAGGTCACGTGGTTTTGTCGCTACGGTCTGATAACTGCGTGGAGCTCGTCACAATGACAATTTTTCAGGGACTTGATGCTTTTTTCTTTCGACGTTAATGTGTGGGTGTCGTCATTGTCATCTTTTGACGAGAGATTGTCGGAAGGAAGTAAACAAACACCAGTTGACAGTTTTGTGTTCTGACTGGTCGTGACAACATGACATTGGATAGAAAAAAATATTTAGATAGGATCTGTGAGAAGAAACCTATTGTATAGTGTGTACTTGTGTATGTGTGTACATGTAACAGGATGATAATGTGCAAATATGTTCAGGGAAGCGGGGAGTAAAGTGTAAATATCATCATGTGATCGGGTAAATATGTGTAAATGTTATTATGCGACCGGGTTATTATGTGTAAATGTGGTTATATGCCTTGGTATATATGTGTAAATGTTCTCATATGCCTTGGTAAATATGTGTAAATGTTATTATGCGACCGGGTTAATATGTGTAAATATGGTTATATGCCTTGGTAAATATGTGTAAATGTTCTCATATGCCTTGGTAAATATGTGTAAATGTTATTATATGACGGGGTTATTATGTGTAAATGTGATTATATGACTGGGTAAATATGTGTAAATGTTATTATATGCCTGGGTAAATATGTTTAAATGTGTATATGTAAGTGGGTTAGTATGGGTAAATGTGATCACGTAACCAGGTAATAATACTAGTATGTACATGTAACAGGGAATGCTCTAGAATGACTACATGTAAGCGGGTACTGAAGTATAAAATGGTAACTATTAGCATGTAAATTAGTTTATGTACCAATGTCAATACACTGGGCCTGTAAATGTCTCCTTGTAATCGCGCCTGAATATGTTATTGATCATGTGTCCATGGAACTCAATAACCTCAATAACTCGAAATATGTAAATGTGTGAGTATGATCAGGTCTGGATATGTAAATGTGTCCATTGATCGGACCTAAATTATTATTGCGTATACATGAATATATAACGTCAATGCAAAAGAATAACCGTCTTGATTATGCGCCGAAACAGATTCCATTTGGCGTAAAGGGCAAACTAATTGCGAAATGTATATGAATGGAACACTGAAAATCAGTGTTGACACCAGGTGTTCATTTAATATGTAAACATGTACATGTATCGAAATCTTTTTAAAAAAAAGTGTGTCCATGTATCTTATCTGGTGCAGAAAAAACACACGGGCAAATCCGAATTGGGAAAAGGAACGTACTTGCCTCCATCACAAACGGCAGAGGAGGAACGATGCAGTTGTTGCAATTGTTTAATTAGTCCCCTGAACCTACCTTAACGCTTTAAGCCCCCTATTTTGGGAGAAAAAATGTCATTAATTTGAAATGACAAGAAACTACTACGATTACATAAAGATATCTTCGGGCAATTGTAGGGTAAAAAACGAGAAGAATTATTTTCGGCCTGAGGGTTTACATCGAAACGCAAAAATGACAGATTACACCCATTCAATAATATGTCATGATATCTACAAGGAAGACATCATGCTAACAACCATATTAAAGATATGACTTTACATTTTTGGACCTCTATGAGTGGATTTCATTTCGACTCCCTTAAAAAGTCGTCCCATATTATTCACTAGAACTATGTTTAGAGCACATGATGCAGTAGTGATGTAACGTCTCTTTGATGTATCTGTTCCTTAAGAATAAAAGTCCTACTTCGTGACAAGAGGTGCATACGCAGTTTACTTGTCTGTACATATTTTTCAAGCAAAACAACCCCATATATGCACGGGGGGGGGGGGGGGGGGTTAGGGGGGTATTACGCATCCTTTAAATATTTGTTGTTGTTTACAGGATGTGGCAAGGTCAAGAACGTGGATGTTGTCGGAGGTTGTTTATTAAACCCAAACGAGGAACGTGAGTCCAATCGGGAGTCTATGATAAAATGTTATTACGGTTAAAAAAACCCATTGATGGCGTCATTATTATCAAATGGACATAGGATTGCGTTTATGCATGCTTAAGTGTTATTATGGGATACGACTGGAACAGACGATAGTTGAACGACAGCTGAAGAAACAGATATGTTTTAATTAAAATTATGAGTAATTTTTAAAGAAAAGCTAGTTTGCAACAAGGTGTACTTTGCGGCTGTCAACATCTTCTGGGACAATTACTTTTTTTCGATAAAATCCCATGCAGCATAGGCTGCAACATAGTGTTGTTCATGATTTGAAGCATGGGCTGTAACATGGTGTTGTTCATGATTATAAACATGGGTTGAAGCAAGGTGTTGTTCATGATTTGAAGCATGGGATGCAGCGAGGTGTTGTTCATGATTTGAAGCATGGGATGCAGCAAGGTGTTGTTCATGATTTGAAGCATGGGCTGCAGCAAGGTGTTGTTCATGGTTTGAAGCATGGGCTGCAGCAAGATGTTGTTCATGATTTGAAGCATGGGTTGCAGCAAGGTGTTGTGAATAGGAATTATGATTATATAAAAGGGCTGCAACATTGTTCACGATTTGAAGAATGGGCTGTAACATTGCCTTTTTGTGATTTGAAGCATGTGCTGCAGTATGGCGTTGTTCACGATTTGAAGAATGGGTTGCAGCATGGGGTTGTCTGTGATTTGAAGCATGGGTTGCAACATTGTGTTGTTCATGATTTGAAGCATGGGTTGCAGCATGGGGTTGTCTGTGATTTGAAGCATGGGCTGCAACATTGTGTTGTTCATGATTTGAAGCATGGGTTGCAGCATGGTGTTGTCTGTGATTTGAAGCATGGACTGCAGCAAGGTGCTGTTCATGATTGAAAGAATGGGTTGCAACATGGTGTTGTTCATAATTTGAAGCATGAGCTTCAACATGGTGTTGTTTATGATATGAAGAATGGGCTGCAAAATGGTGTTGTCTGTGTAAGTGTGCGTGTGCGCGCGTGTGTGTGTGTGTGTGTGTGTGTGTGTGTGTGTGTGAGTGAGAGAGAGAGTGAATGAGTGTGAGTGTGTGTGTAAGAGTGAGAGAGAGTGAGTGATTATGAGAAAGAGTGTGAGTGTGTGTGTGTGTGTGTGTGTGTGTGTGTGTGTGTGTGTGTGTGTGTGTGTGCCATAGTATTTTTCGAATACGGATGTGAGTAAACAGCACTCACTCACTCACTCACTCACTCACTCACTCACTCACTCACTCACTCTATTTCCTTGAGGTTTCAAATATTCACACCATGTGGCTTTTAAGACACTCGTGTTACTCAAGCGCCTTCTATCTTCCATGGTGTCATTTCAGACAAAGGAAGCTGGATTTTTATTATCTTGCTGCAAGAATAAATGAATGAGCTTAGCGGCCCCTCCACATATAATGTATGTCAGTCTTCATTTACGCCAAGTGGACCACTTGTTACCCCCGACGGCCTTGACTGTTGTGGATGGGGCTACGTGCAAGACAAATCGTAACATCCCATCAGTGTGACACCAGGTGTCATCACCATTGATTACGGACTCGACAAACAGTGTTACACCTGCACCTGTCCAATATGTTTTGTACTGCTTCCAATCTAAAAAAATATATACTGTCTTATCACCTTATGTCACACATGGCAGACAAACATTTATCTTCCAAAACAGGCTCCCACAGGAGATATCGTTTGGGTGAGATCAAGCGATATCTACATGATGGATATCGCTGCAATGAAATTGCATCACAATGCAGTGTTACATGACGTCACAATCAAATGACATCACTAATGGCTCTGCTACTGAAGCTGTTAGCAGTACTTTTTACACTTCAACTTATTACACTTATACTGCTTATTACTTTCTACAAACTGAAAAAGTTGGAAGAATGATGTTGGATGATAAATAAAATCTCAGTGAAAAAGCAGTCGTCCTCGGCACTGTAGCTCACTGTTACGTGGTATCCTCACGAAGCGGAACTTTGGGTTTCCGGTAATATTCGTTTGATGTGGTAAGTTAGTAGGGATGTTTCAAGGGAGTTGATTCAAGGAATCAGCACACTGGTGCCTATAATACTGCGAACCATATTGAAGCTCTTCAGCTTCAGGTAACCACAGCCGAGGGCTAAATGGGGAAAATGTGTGAAGAGCATTTATGGTGTCATCCGCCGTAATATTGCTGGAATATTGCTAAATACGCCGTAACACAGAACCCATTCACTCACTCACTCAAGTGCGGTGTAAATGTATATGTATGCAGAACAGAAACCCGAGATACAGGGAATGTCACAGAGTGGATGTGTCTGACCTACAATTTAGGATAATGACAAATATTATCTTAATCTTTCGCAAATATTCTTAATACCCTGCAATGAAGTAGCCATGTTGTCAGGGAGTACAAGACCGCCTCCGTGGTCTAGTGGTAGAGTGTCCGCCCGGAGAGCGGAAGGTTCGGGGTTCGGTCCCCGGCCGCGTCATACCAAAAGACGTTAAAAGATGGTATTTGTTGTTACCCTGTCTGGCGCTCGGCATTAAGGGACTTAAACAAGGACTGGTCGGCTCCGAGTCAGTATACTGTGTCTGAGTGGGGTATTCATGTTAAACTGCGGCATGGTATCTCAGTGAGCTAGCACTATAAATCGGCATCAGTCCGGACTAGTACAAGCAACCACACACACGTGCATGCACGTCGCTATATATGCGCAATAATCTTGGATGCGACGTTAAACCTCATTTCACCTCACCTCACCTCACCTCACCTCAGGAAGTACACTCGTCACGAGGAGTGTCCGGCTGACCACAATGTCAGAAGTATTCTTGGTAGTCGTGGGATATTGCTAGAAAAACTACTTAAGGTGGCGTTAAGCATTCCTAGTTTTGCAGAATATCCACGTCCTCATAATGGTACATTGAGCAAGAAGCCCTACACCGAAATGGCGAATTCGAAGCAATGATAAAATAGAACCTGTAACACAAATACATTGAGAATACTGTTCCACG